CAACATGTGAGAATGTGACTTACATGAGAGGAGAAAATTAAATAATCAGGTTCCATTATGAACAGAATGTCCTTAAAGTGCAGATGTGCTGCACACATACTGTACTAAAAAATAGTCTGGATTTGGCTGGATTCTTTTTACGCTTGAAAGCTTTTCTTCATAGTTTTTAGACTACAGTTTGCCTTAAAGGGTTATGTAATGTATTAAAAAAATGCTTTAATAAATGGCTTTATCTTTGTTAGCTGGGTTATTAAATTGAAAAAATGTAATAAACTTGATTAGTTTGGGAAGTCAATGGAAGCTTGGCTATTTGAGTCTCTAATCCTATTAATTAGATTGTGATTGGATTAATATTTGCTGTGCAGCAGTGTTTTAAAAGAAGTGCTGGTCTCTTCAAAGGGAACTGCATAAGCAGTTAACTCCCAAGTGCTTTGGGGGGGTTTAACAGCTTGTTTCTAGAAATACAGGGCAGATCCAAGAGTATTGAAACAATACTTACCTTCCAAAAAATTCAAGGTTCTTTTTGTTCGTTTGGTTTGCGGTTTTTTTTGTGTTGGGTTTTTGTTTGGTTTTTTTTCTTTCTTTCTTTTCACGTAGAATCCCTAGTAAAATCTCTTTTTCTCAATGGAATGTTTTGGTTACGGAAAGCCTCACATTGCAGTAGATTTTTTTTGTTGTTAATTGGGCTACTGGTTTAGAATAGAAAATTGATGCTGCTGCAAATAACTGCAAAGTATCAGTGACTGAAGCCTGTTCGGAGTATTTCTGCACGTAGGTATAAGAATAAAGTTCAGAATTAGAAGCCTAAACATAATCCATAGTTTAGAAATGAAAGGAAATACAGTTTTCTGCAGCTGAGATCATTTGCTGTTTCTTAAAAACTGCAGACAGATTGAAATGACTGCAAAACACCTCTTAGAAGTGTAGAAGAATGCAACAAAGGTATGTCTGTGGAGATACATGTAGGTAAATGAAGTGTTATAGTATTATTGGGGTAGTTTGTGTATGCAGGAAAGAAAATGTCAGAATGATAGAAAAAATAAGGACAGCTGAAAGGTTGAGGTTACAGCTCTGATGATGATGGTTGAGAAATGCAGCTGCTATCCTGTTTCACTGTCTTGCTGAGGAGAATGTAGCTCTGTGAATAGATTGTAGGTGGTTGCTCTTTAATAGCCTGAACCCTCTGAAACCCTGCAGGAAGCTTGACATTAAGGTTGTAATATTGGCATTCCCTGATTGCCTCTCTGTGCAGTTACAGCATTCAGTAAAGATACTAAGTCCAGTTGCTAGCCTTAGTGGCCCAGGAGCATGCTACTTGAAGAACCTGTGCTGTTTTGAGATCAGAAGGGATCTTGGAAAATACAGAAACCACATTAAATAGTCTGGGGTTTCCTTGCCTAAGGCAGAGACTAAATTTCTTAAGTCTTCTGCTTTACAAATAAATTTTGTGCCATCAAAGTTAGGTCCTAAATCTGTGTTGGAACTGCTGGATTGCAACTTTATGTTGAGACGTAGGACCCTTTTTCCATTTAAAGCAGGAATTTGGCTTTTAGGGGGAAAAAAAATCCTTTTTACAGTTTTGCTCTTTGATTATGTCATAAAATATTTTTTTAGAATTTTCAAGGTGATAAATTTGTGCATTTAGATTAATTTGAAGCTGAGCTATCTGAAAAATCGCATAACCTCTTTTTATTTGTCCTGAATGAACTTTACCATAAAATAAGAGTCATACTTCAGATTCTCCCTATAGTTAAAATTAATTGAAAACCTGTCCTCAGGCTTCTTTTAAAGAAAGTAGATCATAATTTAGAACTTTTTGTTTTTTTTGCTTATTGTGAACTATCGATACCAAAGGTAACATACATCACAGAGCAGCACAACTGCTCCGGTATTACTTCCTCTGAGAGGATGGGAGGAGAGGCACTGCTTTATTAAAAGACAGAGTAGTTTAAGGGTTTTCAGAATGAATCAAAGCCCTTCTGATGAAGGGTCTGGGCAAAAGCAGTCCATGCTGCTCTGTTCTAGGCACTGGCTGCTGTAGTCACTGTTTAGCACAAAGTAACCAAGAGCCAAGTGCCACAAAGAAAAAAAAAAACACATTTTGCTGGCAAAAGACTTTTACAGGAAAAACATTTTGAATCTAGTTTACCTACTGGATTCACCAGGTGACTTAAATGAAAATGTAGTTGTCCCATATTTACACAAAATGAAGATGTGGTTTTGCAACCTGAAATTCTTTCTCAGTTTTTTTCCATGCAAAAGGAAATTTTAAATTAGTGTATTAGCAGAGTAAAGCTCAGGAAGGTTGAATAAAAATGACACATTTCTTATTGACACCCGTTTTGACTTTCTCAACATCAGAATTAAAAATTAAAAATTCAAAAAGATAAAGTTCCTTTCCTGTCTTGGCTTGGTATGCCTAAGTTTTATGCCCAGTTAATTTTGAGTCATATCCTTAAATTTTTATTACCCTGGTTTTAATAATTTGGCTAATCTCATTTGCTTTTTAGAATGCATGTGTAACTTCATTTTCTTCTACTTTATGTTTTTATTCATAAGTTTAGTTTTAACTCTTCTGTATTTCCTGTTTCTATGTAGGCTTATTCTTTTGATCATTACTATTGTCTTTAAATTTCCAGATTATAAGTTGTGGTTGGCAAAGTACAAGGGAAAAGCAACAAATATAGCAGCTATGTGAATAGAGGAATATTCACAAAGCTTAACAGAAAACTAGCAATAAGCTTGTTTTCTTATGCTCTGTCTATGTTCAGTGGAGAGAGGGATGGACTTCTCTGATGGTACACCTAAATAAGGCTTCAGCTTTGAAACTTTCTTTAAGCTCATCTTTCTTCATTGTCTGTGGGGAAAGACCAACATTTCTAAGATTCACCCAACTTTCATGTTGGGAAGGACTTCATAGTTTTCGAGTAGGAATCTCTCAGATACTTGTGCATCATGCAATAGTAATGCCTCTAAATGCTGTAAAAGTAAATTTGTGAACACTAAATGTATCCTTCTGAGAGTAAAAGTACATTTTGTACTGAAGTACAAATCTGCATGTTTCCAAAAATATTGTAGATGGGTGCTTCTGATGACTGAGCTTTCATAATGGAGTTTACGTCAGGGGTTTGTAATTACATTGATTATGCAACTGTAGCTCTCTTTGAATTTCCTTTAGCAGGCAGCTCCTACACTGATTTAAACATCCCTTTATCTTGGACTAGCTCCATGTGAGAGTTTTGTTTATCCTTGTGCTTTGGTATATCCAACTGGGATTAAAACCCAAACTTTTACTTACATAATGTATGATGATTTTTTTGCTAAGTAATTTCAGATTCAGATTGTGGGCCACAATTTGCTGTGAGAACAGTACTCCACAGTTAATCTTTTTCAGGAGTGGAGAACACGCAGCTATTAACTATTGAAGCTTTCCTGAAAATAAGGAAATGTTTTCTACCTAAACCTCAATCTGACCTATTAGAATAATTGGGAGCCCCTTAGCACAGAAAATCAGAAATGTACATGTAGATAAATTGTAAAAAGATGATGCAGATAAATGTAAAAGATGTAGATAAATTGTAAATATAACAATGGAAAGTGCATTTTACACGTTCCATTTTTAACTTTGGTAGAAGGATATATAGGATGCTGCCTTGAGTGTTAATTCAGAGTTACCTAGCAGTAAAAAATCAAAGGGACCAAAAAGCTAAAACAAAGGAAACTTCAAATTAAAATTAATTACCCAAATTTGGGATTGAACAGTTTTTGAACTAGAGTCTTAAAAAGTCTGTGTGAATGAAAAGGGTATTCTTGTATGATTACGTAGCAGATCAGAAAGAAGTTACAGGAAGAGATATGTAAAGACCTCTCAGTGTTCTTTTTAAATTTAATTCTGGTGGAGTTACTGCTATGAAACCACTGCTATATTCCTGTTGTTGAATATATAGATCTTTTCTTGCTGTCTAGACCGCACAGTTTTATGTAATTTACTCTGCATTTTTCTTTTTTGCACTATATCTTACAAGAAGAAAATGTGGATTTTCTTTATTAATTCCATCCAAAGCAATTTTCTGTTTTAATTGAGATTCATACAAGCAACTTCCATTGGCATAAATACTGATTACAGAGGGATTTATAACCTCTCAGAAGCAGAATGTATGTAGTTTTGTTTTTCCCTTGGCTAGATTCCTTGCAGACTAAATATTGCAGTTCTCATCTTGGTAGGGTCTAAAATTTAGCCCCTTCTTGTCCCATCAAAGCAGACTGCTTTGCACAGCTGTTTGGACATCATACAAATATGTTCAATTATCCTGTAATGTTCATCTGCTTTTCTATCTTGCTGATTTATGTCTGCACCAGTCTTGACAACCCATCCGTGCTCCTGAGTGCATGCTGGAACTCCTGCATTGTTCTGTATTTTCACAGGAGATGGTGAGCTCTATACCTTTGGAGAAGCTGAAAATGGGAAACTGGGATTATTGCCTGAACAGCTGAAGAACAGTAGAGTCCCACAGCCTGTACTGGGAATTATGGAAAAGGTTAATAAGGTCGCTTGTGGTGGAGAACACACCGTGGTGCTGACAGGTATGCGATTTAACTGTCCTTAGTTTACAGCCCTGTAACTTAATCAGTAAACTCCATTTAGAATTTACATCCCACTGAAATGTAAGATGCTGTAGTGATCCTAACTGGAAGACCATTCAAGGTCTTCATCAAGGGGGTAGAAATCCTTGTAACAGGTAACCTAAATACAGGCATGTGCTGTGCATATCCTTTTGCTGCAGGATAAACTTCATCGGATAATTGCAACAGAGGAGTTTACTGACAGCTCCTACTTGGCACCAGTGATTACACCACGTGCATGTCCTTGCCTTTACCTAAAACTTCTGCAGCAAGTTTCCATGTAAATGTCCTTTTTATTTAACAGCATAAATGATGAACAGAGTTGTTTTGCTTGTAAGAAAATCCTATAAGAGCTCAAGTGACCAAAATGAGGTAACTTTCCACGGATGGGATCTGCGTAGCATGCTGTGCATGCTGTGCCTGACTGAAGGCCTGTTCGGTTCCACACAGCTCAGGATTCCCAGCATCTGGAGGGCTGTGATCTATTGATATTGATCTATTTATATTGATATTATCAATTTATACTATCTTTTTTTTCTTTATAGTCTTAGCTCCAATAAATAGCATTTTAAGACATACTTTACGGAGTCTCTCACTTGAATTGTTTCTTCCTTCTGAGAAGCTTGAAAGTGGCATTGGTATGAGGGGGTAACTATAGAGGAAAGCTTCCATTCTGTAGTAAATTTAAATGACCCTGAATATTTAGGAAGGCATTTAGGATGTCACTTTTTAAGTAGTTGTCTGCCAATAGTGATGGAGATGCACAATCTACTGCATGCCTAAATGGATTAAATATCTCCTGTTGTGGTACAGACTTTGCCTGTGACTGTGAGCAGAATCTTTAGCATACATATAAAACTAGTACAAATATAGACAACATATCGTGCAAGTTATAAAAATACAACTGTTATATATCATTAGTTCACAGAGTTGTATTTATAATACTTGGAAGATGAAATATGGTGTATATTACTGTACTGCTAAATAGTTGTGTGCGTATGGTAAATTAGCTTTTAAAAGAGATATATGCTAAGTATTGCTACCTATTTATTTCCACAAGTTCTATCCTGAACTGTAGTAGTATAGAAGCAGGAAAGGGGAATGTGATTTTGCCCACTGATGACTTAACAAATAGCAGCTTTGGCTTGTAATGAATTCCACAGCTGTATAATATCCCTGTAATTATCTCCTACCAAAACACAAGAACTGTAAAAACCAAGTAGGATGCATACTTATCAGTCCTTTTCTGTATTTTGAAAATGCTAAAGTCATCTCTTGTTAATCTGGTTGAGTGTCTTCAAGGCTATGTAATCAAAATTTCTAAAATATAAATTGAAAATCTAACTGAAATTGCAAGTAGTATGATGTGGTATTGTACTGTAAGCCACTGGGGAGAGTAAAGGTGGAAGTGATGTGCTGGGAAAGGTTATGTGTAATGATGAGTCAAGCTGCAAGATTCTGGGTAGGTTAAAACTCCTTTGGGAAAACTATGAAGAGGAAATAACAGCTAATCCAGGAAATAATGCAAACGTTTGTCTACATTTCAGTGCCTTTGTCTCTCTTCCTCCACCAACATACAGTCTTACCCTGGCAATATCTATGTCATAAAATACATTTCTTTACATGAAATCAGATTAGCATTATCAGGAAAAAAATTACTATAAATTTGGGGGCAGCAAATGCATAAATCATGGCATTATTTTATGCATTATAAAGTGAAGTTCTGCAGAAATAATTTGATTATCATTATTGATTATTTTTTTAACTGTAACTCTGAAGCCAACCAATACGTATTTTGTTTTAATGGTATTTCATGTGATAAAATTTCACTATAACAAATGGCTGTTACAGAGCTATAGTAGGAAGATGTAGATCTGGATGCATCATCATTATAGTGAGATCTGTACATAAGCTAGAGCAAAGAGGCAAAATATAAATTTCAAAAACAAATATAGTGAGGAAAACACCATAGTAAGTCAGTGTCATTGTATGTAAGATTTCTTTGCCTATGGAAATAGATTTTGTAGTAGAAGGCAAATAAGAAATTTCGTTTTGCCTTAGCTGGCACTCAATGATTGAAGTGTTGAGTGCCAGAAGATCCAATTGAGTCAAGAGAAGAGGAAAACAATACTGTCCAACAAAGTACATTTTCCTAAAGATTAATATTTGTGAAAGATCAGATTGGTGGTTTTAAATGTGATTCAGCTATTATTAAATAGGCTACAGCTATGGACTTCTGCCATAGACACTTAGAACAGAAGAGTAGAGGATAATGGAAAAACTGTCTCAAGTGAAAGATAGTTCATCAGGAGTGTAGACATACAGGAATTTTTCTGACTCAAAAGAAAATTCGGGGAAAAAAATAGAGGAAAGAGGTAGATCATTTAAAAAGTGAGTGTAGCATACATGCATTGTAGGCTTTGCACCAGAAACTTTAATTGAAATCGGTACTGAACTGCATATGGCGTTTTGAGATGAAGTGGCATGATCACAGATTGAGAATTCTGATGAGGAATGTATCTTCAAAGAGAAACAGAAACATTTATACCTCTTTTAAGCTCATTTTCCCAAATTAAGAATGTACTACAGTTGTGAAGAAATTCTGAATTTCATGTATCATATTCCATGAAAATGGGTTCTGCTTGGCTTTAGTAACACAATATATACTGATACAGTTTTCACCTTTTCAGGATCTTTCCAGTTTTTCAGAGTGTGTCATTTCAGTCTTAAAAAATAAGAAGTGAGTGTCTGACTATTGTATACTCCCCTGTTTCATCTATCTCATTTAACACAGGAATAGGATAGGAGAAACTGTTGCACATCTTGGCTCATTTCTTGTCATCAGTTCTACTTAGGGTTTATCAAATTAGAAGAAAGCATAATTCAGTTATCTTACTGAGTACGAGGCAAGTTTCTTCCTGACTCTCATACATAATTAGTCTATTCCAAAGCACTTCATTTGATTTCTTTTTTATGACTGTCTTATCTATTCTATTGGCAATTTTGCATGGTAAGAACCACTGTTATCTGGGTTATTAAATCAAACTACTATTTGGAATCTCTCCAACAAGAATCAGAGTAAATATTAGAAACTATATATTAAAATAATTTTATTTTTTTCTCTGAAACTTCAAAATCAAAGCTCTTTTTTTTGTCCCAGAGAACAAAACAATAAACTGTTGAGAGGAATGATTTGGAAAACAACTTTTTAAAGACACAAGGTTTTAGAACTGATGTATTGGAAACCATCTTCTTTACAAGTCTTACTGTTACTTCTTCCTTTAATAATTGCAATTGTTCTAGCAAATAAACATAATCACAGTTAAAAATTCTATCATGCAAAAGCTTTCTCTCACTGTCACAGCACAAACCTATTCATTTCATGACAGTTTATCAGCCAGTTCAAGAAGATCATATCCTCCTCCCAGACAAATTCTCTCAGAGACCAAAAAACATTCATCCACTACCCACGATGCTTGGAAATGCTTCCTAATGAAAATAAAAGCTGTTGATATAATCACATTCAAAAGCGATATGAGCGAACAGCAATCTCAATGTGCGTACTTTTTCAATAAAGCTTTTTAAAAGGTAGAATAATAATAACTTGTGAATCTAGAAATTGGAGAAGAAGAAACAGATGTTTGGGAGTGGCTTTAATATCTTCCAGTTTTTCTCAGATGATGACAGATCCTCTGGGAATAATCCTGTCTATAAAAGGATATATTATCTCCTTTTATTCTCTGAAAGGAGGGAAAGCAAAGATATCTCTTCAAAGGAAAAAGTGAAGCAGCCCTTCGAGAACAGATCGTTTGACATAACAATACGACACATTAGTGTGCTAGTGTGTAAAATGTTTGATTTTTCATCTTCTGTCTCAAGGTCTTTTTAAAAGAAAAGAAAGTCAAAGATACCCTTTTGAAAGAGGATGAAAAGGATGAAAAAGCTCTACCTTTTCATGACAGGACTTCAAACCATATAGGATTATCTAGATTTTTCAAAACGTTCTTACATCTGTATACTATTTATACTGAAATCCCTAAATCCAATTACTAGCTCTGGTAAAAGTGAGTTTTGTGTTGACAGCTGATTTTTACAGCAACATTTTTCAGCATAAGCTGTTTAAAAGTAAAGCTATAGTAAGAGTGAATAGCCCATTGACATAAATGAAGTAGTAGTAATAGTAGTAGTAGTAGTAATAGTGATGATGATGATGATGATGTTCAAGGAAAATTAATCTCTATCGAAAGCTATAAGCATACCTGTCTGTTTCTGGCTTTCTTCTGTGGATTTTTTACTTTGTAATACAGCCTTAAATATGTTGCAATGAAGGCACGAGTTTTAAGAACACTTTTGGAGCTCCCTCAGTTCATTCAGGAAATAGCATGTGTTAAAAAACAATCTGAAAGCTATATAGGTTTTTACCTAGAAGTATTTTATTTATAGTGACAGTGGTCACTGAGATTACAGAGCTGTTATGTGCACCAGAAGATGCCTGAAAATGTTGGTGATACACAGTTACAGGGACATATGCCTGTTCTTCCAAAATATGAAAATGTGGGAAGTAAAGGGGAAGCAGTCCCAGCGCTCAAGTGCTGGAGGTCACTTGGAACAGTGAAGCCACTGGCTTCTGTGCAAGCTCTGAAACCATTTATCTTCATCCTTCAAGGGGCCTTCTCATGAGCTGCTGTGGAGACAAGAGCTCCTTCCTTGAGGCCAAGACGGGACTTGTTTTTGGTTTCTTCTGGATGCTGTTAATACAGCTGAGCCTTCCTCGTGATTCACCCTGGAGGCAGTGCTGCATCCCTCGTGCTGCTGTGGCCATGTCTTTTCTGTCCCCTTGTACCGCTCTGGTGCTGTCTTGACTGTTCCACAGGAAGCTGTATCAGCAACAAGCCTCTGAACCTGGCTTACTGAGCTGAGCTGACTCACTAGGTAGACAGGTGGACAGCAGAGACAGTGCAAGTGGAGACTGAAGAGAGAATGGGGGAACAAGATCTGCCCTTTTGCTGGCAGTACATTTCATTTGTCTCATTCAACCATGTCCTTACTGGGACTGAGGACAGTGAGAAGAAGGTGTCAGTGGGACTATATCCCCTTTAGGATTTGTGCTGTAGGCAAATTAATTTACAAATTCCAAATTCAGAATGATGAAATTCACCTCTCTCATTTTATCACTAAGTCTGTGAGGTTGCTTTGCCATAGACTTCTCTTTCCATATATTTATAAAGACAGTTTGGAGAAAATTCCTCATTTCTGCTACATGAGATTATTACTGAGATTGGGCCTCACTTCTGCACCAGAATGGCAAGGCATTTAAGAAAGGTGCAAGGGTTTTGTCCTCCTCTGCCTTGATACTTGACTAATAAGCAAATTTAGGTCCATTAGAAGATATCATTCTTCTTATAAAGGCACTCTAACTTGTTTTTGGATTGGCCCGTTCTTCTCATTATCAGTAGGAACAGGAAAGAAACATCTCCCTCTAAACACAAATGCAAAAAGCATTGCATGTTTCAAGCTAGATAATGTGAAAAAACTCCAACTTCACTCAAAATAATTATGTTAATCAGATAAAGGCACATAATTTGAAAATTATGAGATCTGCCAGTTTCCAAAGAAATGTTAAGACTGATGCACTACAGAATTTACAGAATAAGCCATCCTGACCAAGCCGTTTACTAAAATGATGATTAGACTTTTCTTTGCTTAGAGGAAGCTCCTGTCTTTCAGGTTTAGTTTCTTGATTTCTATGCAGAAAGTCTAAATGTAACAGAAAAATTCTTACTACTTTTAAAGACCCTGAGGTGTTGCTTTCTTGCACTGAAATTTCCAGCAGAGGGAGCTTTACTATTACATTTAGGAAAAAAACCAGCTTTACTCGATATTTTGCATTTACAATCTGAAAAAGTGTGAGACCATTGGGGTTTTTTATAGTGTGAATGAATGACATCTTAATATGGAACAATTTCAAAGGCACAGAAAGGGCAAACACTTTCTTAGAGAGAACATTTCCATTCATAGTGTTACAGGTTTTCATCATGGTTCCTTTGAAATTGGAAAGTTCAGTTTAAGCTACTAAGTGTACTACGGTGGTAATATGGAATTTGATCTGTTCTCTGCTTTCTCTTAAAGTTGTAGTAGTGAAGGATTAGTTTGGGGGAATGGTAGCATATTTTGGTTTTAATATTTCTCCAGTTTGTGGCTGCTCTGAGAATTTGGTTGCACAGTATGAACTACTTTTGTGGCACTGAAACTGACGTCGCTATGCCAATGACCTTGTTTCCTTGACACAAAGAAGGGCTCAAAAAGCAAAGACACTGTTGATTGTTGTTGCATACATTCAGCTGTGGATGCAGATTCCTCCTGTGCTTTTGAAGGTGGTAGGATTTTGGACCTGATGACATCTGTGCCGCAGGAGCAGGCATGCGCTGCACTGTGTGACAATGATGTAACACTCTGTTATGCCCAAGTCTCAGTTATTTTTGTTTGACATAGAGTATTTTTTGTCCTCTGTCTTTCACAGGTTTTTGTAACATTTTTTCAAGTTGTAACTAGTACTTCTTTAGCTTTTCCTTTGTTGCTTACATGCAGAATTAAAAAGAGCAGGGAATAAAATTCTAGGAAAACTTCTCCTTTTCCCAAAAAACCTTAGCCCTTGAATTTCCCTTTTAAAGCATGATCTCATCAAGATTTCCAAGCTTCACAGTCTTTCCCTGTTGTGATCGAGTGCCAGGGATGGACACACCAAGAATCTTTATTGCTTTGGAGAAGCTCTTAATCTCTTTCCTGGCACAGACAATCCATTAAATGGCCAAAAATAAATGTGGAAAGATTATTATTCTGTCACAAGATAACACAATTATGGTGTTCTCTGTATTTATTGCAAGGCTGATGTGGTAGCCGAACAGAGTACTGAAACCTGTTCTGTTACTGTTGCAGTCTCTTCTTACACACAAATTAGTATTGGTTTGAAGATGTCTGGTTTAGAGGATTTAGTGTCATACAGTGTACATGCAAATAACCAGAAACTAAGGTGAAACTATTGTACTTGAAAATGCACATATATGTCTTGAATTAATTACAGTATGTAAACTGCCATACATTTTTTGTTAGCTGATGTTTTGTGTACATGTGATTAATGGATTATCTTGTGCTTATGTTAGAAAATATATGGGATATTGAACCATTCAAAATTCTTTTCTGTATATTTTTAGTGCTTCATTACCTGGTTTTTAAAATTTTGTTTGATCTTGTTATTGATAAATTTAATTGATTAGTTGGTATATTTTTTCATTAATAAAACATTGCTTTTTCATGCTGATGTCACTTGACTTTCACTTGGCTAATCGAAAGCAGGTTATAATGTGTATGTCAGTGTATTTGGTGTTAACTTTGCTTATACATTTTCAGAGACAGATGTATATACTTTTGGACTTGGACAATATGGGCAGCTGGGACATGGTACTTTTATTTTTGAAACCTCAGTACCGAAGTCTGTGAAACACTTGAAGAAGCATAAAATATCTAACATTACATGTGGGGAAAATCATACTGCTGTAGTTGCAGGTATGTAGGTGAAAAATCCTGAAATGAGCTTCCAGTGACTATTATACCATAAAAGTTTTCTTTATAAAAATAGCAGTAGAAGAAGACATATACAGACTTACCAGTTAAGGTTAAGTGAGTTAACCTCACTGACTGGAAAGCCAGATTTGATTTTAGGAATTTCTGATTCACGGCCATGTTCTGTACATGGTATCCCCTGGGGAATTGTAACCTCATCATCGTGCCTTGCTAACAAGTATTCTTGTTTAGAAGCCTTTGTTTTGCTATGCAATTTCAATCTTAGTGTTTTGGTGGTGGTGGTGGGTTGGATTTTTTTTCCAAAATTGTCTAGACTAACTCTAATCTCTGACAGAACGTTGTCTGAAAATATGTGTATTCTGTTGAAAATCTGAAAATGAGTGTTCAGCTGTTGCTTTTGGAAGAGAGGTGTTCCTTGCATGGCCTGTTACTTTGTTTGTAATGGTTTTGTTCTGGTTTTGTACTGAATCTTTGGTATTAATAACATCCTTTTTTTTCTCTACACAGAGAATGGCCTTATGTTTACTTTTGGAGATGGGCGACATGGCAAGTTAGGACTCGGAGATGAGAATTTTACAAATCAGTTTGATCCCACTCTGTGTTATAATTTCTTGAGTTTCACAGTCCTTTTGGTAAAACTTCTGTTCATGCTTCTCTGACATCAAAATGTTTATATTTTTATGAAACATGTTATCAGTGAGAGTGGAAATCTCATTATAAAATTATTTTTTTCTACAACATTTAATTAGCAGACAACACAAATTGAAAGAAAAAGGAAATTATACTTAATTATCACACTGTTCATTTCTTTTAGAATGTACTTGGCTTGGACTACACATGTAGACTGCTTTTTAGGGTTTTATTCAGTAGTGTTGTGCTATAATGTTTTGATCTATAGAGCTGGTAGTAGCCTATAAAATTAAATATTTGTTGCTCTTAGATTGTTGGCAGTAGGGGGGAAATTAATATCTGTTCTGAAAACAGCAGAGTGACATCTTTTCAATTTTAATTATTGTTTGTACAGTGGGATATTTATTGAATCTTAAGAAAATTTGAGGTGTTGCTTTTTTGAATCCCAATGGGATGAGAAAGGAAAAATACTGTTTTCTTTTAAGGGCATTGTTTTCACCTGTTTCTTGAGTTGTTAAGAAATAAATATCACAGAATTGCAAGCATCAAAAATGCAAACAGAACTCAGGATTGAGCAAAATTTAGGACAAAAGTCTGTGGCTCACTTCTGTTGGTTTACTACACTTCAAGTTTAAGAAAGTTTTATCAGAACGGGTAAGGGGTTTAAACTTTTTAGAAAGTGAAACCTCTGATCTTTATGTAATTATACTTTGTCTATTGGAGGGTGTAGGACTTTGTATTACGTTTTGTGGATGTTGTGATAAAATATTTAGGTTTGTGTCACTGAAGTTATCAGGATTGCCCACATTTGACTTGCTTCAAAATAATTAGCTCCAGTCCCTTCAAAATCAGTGGAAATATCTTTTCTTTCTTCTGTATCAATAATTTGATAGATCTATCTAGTGTTCTGTTCAATACAAATATGTTGTTTTTAAGTAGGAAGAAATTAACATCTATCACTAGTCATTAATAATTGTAATTATGTACTTTTATATTGCTAAAGTTGTTAGGAGCTACATTTGAAGCAATTTAACATATCTTACTTTTATTATGTTTTTCTTATAATGTAAGTCCCTAGAGATGATTGCTAGAAAATTAGATCCTTGCATTGATTCTTGCAAATGAAATAAGCAGACCTTTTTTTGTAGGTTGCTTGTGGTGGTTGTCACATGCTGGTTTTTGCTGCTCCAAGACCTAAAGGATCTGAAGAAATACTCTTAGGAGATTTAAATGAGAGCCATTTGACTGCTACTATCTCTAAAATGAGTGGAGAGTCACTACTAATAAACACCTTACAACTAACAGCAGCACGAATGCGACGTCGAGAGAGGGTAAATTCAGAGCTGTTTAGACTTGTCATATTTGTTTTAGGAAACAAAGTATCTTTTTAAACTAAAATCACAGCATATTTCCTGCAGATAAATATATCTCATTTGGAGAAAAGTAACTCAGTATTATTTGAGAAACTACTATTTTCATTTTAAATAAAAAATCGAATTTTTATAATCCTTTGTCTATATTTTAAGGCTGCTTGAGATTATTGTGTAGAAATTACTTCAAATATCCCACTATATCTCTTCACTTTTTATAAATAATTAAAATACTGAAGAAATTCTGTTTATGCTTTGCATACTAAGTTACAACATCAGTTGTGTCATCAACTAAAGGAGAATACCACTGTTAAGTATGAGAGATTGCTTACATTTTATTCTTCTATTCTTGATTATATTTTTTCTAATCTTCTGAAGGAAAAGTCACCAGAACAGCGTATTCGAATGGCACAAACTCTGCCTCCACTGGGAGAAAGCTTCTTAAAATCTTCATTGCCTGTAACTAGCAATACTAGCCCATTCTGTTCTTCTGCAACAAGTCTTCCCAAATCCAAACCTATGAAGGACAGAGACCATGAAAAAGGTGAAGTGTCCCCACATTTTGTTGCCGTTTTCTGGGAATTATTTAGTTTGGCTCTCATAATTCATGAAGAGATGCTTAGTTTGAACATGAAAGAATGTTTACATTCAGTTTTAACTCAAGAGTGTCTGGCAGAATATAGACATGAAAGTTGAGAAATGCGTACAAGAAATTGCCTTATGCCTTGGCTCATGTTTGGAAAACATGCTTAAAGATTTAGAGGAGGGTTGAGTGAAAGAAAAACAAATTCTGAATTGTAGCTGAGGTGCCTTAAGCCTGTAGAAATATCAACAAAAATACTGTAAAATTAGTAACTACTTTCTCAATTTTCATTGAAAAAAATAAGAATTACAGACATAAAAAAATATTAGGAACAATCATAAGGACACAGGAAGGCTTACAAGAGACCTTGGATAAAAAAAGAGGCCTACTAATTCTTACAGGAAATTTCTTTTTTACTTGGAAATGCAAAAGTACTCTTCACTCTCTGTTAAGTAAGATAATAAGGATTAGCAATATTCTAGCTAATGCAAAAGCCTAGATAACAGTGATGCTGTTACAGTGTTGGACTTTAGCACAGATTCTCTAGAGCAGTCCTGGACTTCATCTGGTTTCCTGGGAAGAGCAGTGCTAAAGAGTGCAGGATGCAGTTCTTCTATGTAAAAGTTAACTCAGATTTATTGGACAGTCAAATCAAATTTGACAGTAATTAATTCAGTTAGAACTAGGATGATTATTTGTAAAGCTGCCAGCATGTCCATTAGCATTTCTGGTCCCAGAAACGCCATGCAGTGAAATTTGGAATTCCTTTAGAGTCTTCTGAGGCCTAAAAACTCAGGTTTTGTGCCATATGAAACTGGTCATATATCTGATGAACTTGAGGTGAATGTGAAAATTATGTAGGTACATTTTTGTGGTGCTGTATTGGAGTTAAACTCACTGTCTCTCCATCCATTACATGGATAATGTGCAATGTAGATAATACGACTGCAGCTAATTTAGTCTAATTGGCACTCTATTATTAAAGAGATTAACAAAAAGATGCTTTGTTCCATGCAATATTTATTCTTTGAAAGCCTGCAAAAATGGTCAGAGCTCTATAGTGCACTGAGACTGGATTGCTGAGTTACCTCTAATGTTAATAGTGATGAAAAGGTGGTAGAAGCGTTTCTGCTGTGTCTTAGGCTGGGGGGATGAGGAATCTCAGGACTTTGGTCCTATGTCAGTAAAATAGAGATAGTATCTTTTTTGCAAGAGTGGGGTGTTCTGTTTGCTATATATTCCTTGTACCTATGGTATTTGTTTACTTCCCCCTATTTTACCTTAAAGAAAAGAAGCATCAGAATGATAAACCTGGTGACGGCTCTGCAGATGAAGATTCAGATAATGAAAATAATGCTGGACACCTTGGAGATACAACTGACATCCTAAATATGGTAATATATTCCACTAATGAATCTGTGATTCAATTGTTTTTATGCAGGACAAAGCAGCTAAATAATGTTTCAAGTTCAACATTTCAGTGTTCCAGGTTCTAGTGCAGAACTCCTGGCTAGCTCAGAATATCAAAAAGTACTGACATGCTGTTAAATGAGCATGCATTTCATATCGTCGCTATCCAATGCTAAAGTTTGTTTTCATTTTCCAAGTAATGCTGTAATATCAGATTGAAGCAGTCCAAGTAGTGCAGCGCCTCCCCGTGCTTTAGCTCTGTATATCAGGAAAGAAAAAAGAAGGATGCTGGATACCACATGGTATCTCTATCTCTGACCTTCCTCATCCTGATGATTTCCAAGAGAGTGAACTGCAGGAAATGAGGCTGTCTTTTCCTGTTCCTAGAATAAGTTTTTTTAGTACAAATGGATCATATTAAAGGGAAGATCAAAATGCAGACGTCTTTATTATTTTGTCATCCCCAAGGACATTCCTACATATTTCTTTTATTTAAAAAATATGTTCACCTTATCACTTGTGCACCTTTCCAAAACATTTCGTGCTCTTTGCAGGCAGGACATGTCCTGGCCTTAACACAGTGCACTGGAAAGAGAG